GAGTGGCAGCAGAGAAGTGGAGGGTGAAGATGGCTCTCTTGGGTATCCTGCTCCCATCACACATGAAGAGGAAGAGGTAGAGGTAACAAAAGTGATATATCTGAAATTTAGCATTGTAAATAACCCGTACTGAATTATCAGCGAGCACATAGAGGTTTCTAGTTCCTCATTCCTACTCCTAGTATTGCTGTACAGTAAGAACGTTTGCCCAGTCTCACAATTGAGAAAAAATAATGATACAAGCTTTAGAATTTGGTAATGCAACGGAATGACTTAAATGACTGGGCTGGCAATTACTGGGTATTACCTATTCAGGAAGGGTAGAGTAAGTGGAGGAAGAAGCAGCAGCAATTTTAAATACTCGACTAAAACGGCTACTGAGCACATACCAACGGGCGTGATGATAAAGCTCAGGACTAATGGGCCCACCAGAAAACAGATGAGCTACTTTTCAAGCTCATCATTGTAATGAAAAGATAAACTGCTGGAGCCGTACTGGGCACTCTGCGTTTCCTAAAACTATTTCTAGAAGGGCTTTCCAATATGAGATCCTGGATATGTTACTTGGAGCCGTATTATAATGTCTAGAGACAAAAATCAGTGTCCTGGAAGTTGGTGGTTACAGAGAGTCTGGAGTTACCCACAGATCTATGCACATCTACCCACATATAAACGTATGTATTTTCCGTTTCTACCCCTTCTATAAAAAAAACTAAAACTAGAAGGAAAAATTGGGTAAACTTGACTAGAAATAAGAAAATGAAAAACAAAATGTAAATTTTTAAGCCACTAGACAAAAGAAATATAATTGAAAAAAAACAACTACAAAATGAGGTAATCTTTGGTTATACAGCCAGGAGGTTCAACAGTGATATGAAGGCAGCGATTAAAAATAAAAAAAAAAAAAGCATATGGGAAGACGAAATAGGTCGTTGCTATAAACTTGATGGAAGAGAATAGAGTCTTGATAAGGAAAGCTTAACAAAGATGTGACTAACAAAGATAAGGATGACACAAGAGAAATTTTAATCTATTAGGACCAAAAGCAGTGCTCAAAATGCGGTGGGGGCCTGTTGCAGACCATAAAAGTACTGGTGTTGGGTATTTCTCAATTTAAAGCAAGTGGGATGGTGTATTTGCCATTCTGTTAGCACCCAGGCAGAACAGTAACAGGACTGAAAATAAGCCCAGATACGGGCTTTATGCTGGATACAGAGACAGGTCAGTGGGGCAACAGAGGGCAAAGATGAAGACGCGGGTAAATATAGGCTGGATAATCTGACATCAGGGATAGGAATCTGAAAACAGGATCAGAAATCCATTAATAAAGAATTAAAGGCAAACATGCCATTGAAATCCATCAAAAATAGACCTTGTCATTCAACCAGGCTTAGTAAGTCTAATTATGAAGACGCATCACCTGGCATGGCGCTCTACAGTATACGCAATATTTACAGATAACCATCTACAATATAAAATAAATGATGCACACGTGGATTAAGATTGTCTCCCTGAGAGCTCTCGGACAGTTTGCCACTGTCCTTCAGGCAGGGATGTTTCCTGTGAGATTCTGCTCAGATCACTGCTAGACCTCGTACTATCTGACGCTTTCATCAGCGATTGAGAAGCAAACCTAAAGTCACTCCTGAAAGCGCTGGTAAGCAACAGCGTGGTAGGAAAACACACAGAAAAACATATATTGCTTAGTAAGCCAGGCCCGCCAAGCAAAGTGGGACTTATTTAGCATTTCGCTGCATTAACGCAAGGAAGAAAACGTCGTCCGCAGCTGCAGAAACAGGGGTGGTCTGTACCTCAGCTATCCCAGAAAAGGCTGAGGGGAGGTCTAGAACTTAGCACATCTGTTGCCAAAAGGGTTGACAGTCTTTGAGGGTATAAACAAGGAAGAAGCGAGTAAGAACGTCACGCCTTCTGTACAGAGCAGAAGGGAGGCAAAGCTCAGCGTCAGTTCTGATATCCCTTCCTAATGTCAAGACACAAACGTTATGGAAATCCTGGAGAACGTTCTTCATAGGGAGAGACTTAGAGCAGCTCTGTCTCTTCAGCTTATGGAGAAGACCAACAGCCCCCTTCATTACTATGCGAACATGTTCAGGGAGAAAAGGCCAGGTACTAAAATGTTTTTTATTTTGCAGGCAGAGTAAGAAGGAGCAAAGGCTGGGAGCTGAGGACAGACAACTCAAAGCGGAAAAAAGGCACATGCTGGTTACAATGAGGTGAGTAACTATTGGAACAAATTAGCAAGGAACTTGTTGGTGTAAGAGCACTGCTATTTAAAAGACTGTGTTTCACAAAACATTTGTTTCCTGTTAGAAGCTGTAAGCCCAACACGTGTGACTCACAACACCCTGGCACTGCGCTGGAAGTGGGGCCAACTACACCAGGAGGAAGTGCCAATTACCGTTCTGCGGGCAGCTGTGATGAAAAAAAAATCCCTTAAAAATAAAAAGCAAAATAAATGCAATTGCTCAGAATTTGGACAATGCAAAAGGACTTCTTTCAGGCAATTAATTGGAATTTTACGTAGAGGTGAACTTGCTGTAATGGCAGGTAACACGTTTCAGAGGTTTCTGTTTTAGCCGGAGAGTGGCACTTGGAGTAGGTATGACCTAGAGATCGGAGTCCTCGGTAATGGCGTGCCCGATTTCCACTGACACTAACCCCCCTCTTTCACACAATGCAATTAAATTACAAACACAAGCGTGGAAAGCAAACCAGCTGCAATCCTTCGGCTTCATTTGTTCTTCCCTTCATTTTAAAACTATAGGTACACATCAGGCATCCAGCAGGGAAGTTGCACGCTTATTTGATGTTGTGTTTGCACAGCAGGTAGTAATTTCAAAAGTTTTGTTGTGCTTTTATTTTCCAGAGTAAGTTAACCAGCCTCCACCCAAGAAGGCATACGTGCAGCCCTCCATGCCTTTAAAGATGTGAAGCAGCAACAGCATGGAAGGAAGAAAATTTGTCACTGAACTCACTTGTAAGACAAGTAGCAGGTTGCTAAAAGGCACTGCTTGTAACTGCACAACAGCCATACACTGGTAAATAATAGATGTACACACAGTGTGTAAAGATAGCAATTATTTGGTAATAACAAAGATATATAGAAAATGCAAAGTATCCATAGTAGCTTCAAAGTGGTTCCATTTACGTACGTTCTAAGGGTGTACATATGTTGCAGCTGAGGGAAACCCAGGGCACAGACCTAAGCTGCTTCACATTGTGATGCAGGACTGGCGCTAACGCTGGTAAATGAGACAAAAGCCTAGGTGAACTCCTTTCCCCACCCTTCACCCCGTGTGGAAAGTCAGCTACTGTAACTCAAGAGTCCAGGGACTGCCTGGCTCCAGGCGCAGACAGATTGTACTGCTTCCAGGGCCAGCCCCTCTTCCCACTCTCGGGCAGCACGGAGCCTGCAACAGCAAGAACTGACATCTCTACCCGCCCCATGCTGAACTAGGAGCTCTAGGGAAGCGTGGTTCAGACGTACCCGAGTGCCTCGGCCGGGGCACAAGCCGAGCTTATGAGCTTGAGCCCAGCACTGCCTCTGCCCAGGGCTCCCCTGAAGCAGCTTGGACACCTTTGCTCCGTAGCGTTCCAGGTTTCAGGAAAGATTATTAACATTTATACTAGTCCCCACGCTCTGCCCAACCCAATAAGCCTTCCCTGAATCTGAAGAGCTCAGTTCAGAAAGCAGAGTGGTTTTACAGCTAATTAGCCTATCTGGCCCTGCACAGCCTCTTGGGTGTGAGCACACTTCTCTCCCAGCAGATGCCCTCGTACCCGCGTTGCCCAGGTAAGCTCAGCGCTCTGCCTGGACACAGGAGTCTGACACACCCAGCCTCCGGCTGGAAACCCCGCTCCGGCCACTGCTACCCCGTGGCTGCTCGGAGGAGCAAAATCTTTCTTTACAACCTCCCATCCACACACCTACCCGTTTGCCCGAAGTTTATTAGTAAAGGAGAGTCAGCCTTGCACATTAGAAACTTTACTCCAGTAAAGCATGGCATAGTTACAGTTTCAGCACTTGGAAATCCTAGAGGCTGTTTGCTGTTATTTACTTAAGTGACATTTTAATTATGCAGATGTTAAAGGCTCACTGTGAATTAGGGCTTCTCTCTTCTTTTGACAATGACATTTTAACTCCCATAGACTTACTTAATACACACTCACTGCAGACTTGAGATAGTTTACAGACGGACAGGTAACCACAAAATCAAAATTAAAAATGCAGCAGGACAGAGTTAAACAACAATCAAAAAACCCCTCCGCAGCTGCAGAGACAAAATGAAAATAAAGCACCAAGAACAACTTAGCTTGAGAGACTATTCCTTTCAGGCATATCAGTGTAAAGACCGGAGCTCTATAATTTAAGTCCTTAAGTACACACAAAGAGACTTCCTGAAATAAATTTAAGATGACAACTAATAGCCAACAGACAGCCACCACTAATTATTTAATGAATCGTGTATTGAAATCTGCATAGAGACAACTGAAAAACCTGCCTCTGATGTAAACATTTCAGCATCAGTAGACAAAACAGTAAGTAGTAATTACAAAAGACACTCCTGCTCCAAAATCTGAATGAACTACTTCAAGAGCACCTATATATATATAGATAGATAGATACTTCAAATTCTTCAAGGTCTAGTACACTATGAAGATCTTTTGCAATCAACTTTAACATCACTTATTTGTTTGCCATTATGGGTATCTATATATATATCTCTCTCTATCTCAACACACACAGAGGCACAAAATTTCCTTGTTACCTTCAGCAAAATTAATAAAAAGTAAACAAACTGTGGTGTAAGAGTGGCCTGAGGTTAATTTACTGATATTGCTATAAGCAAGACAAAAAAAAATCAAATGCTTCAAATTAATGTCTTGCAAGTATGTTGTTTGTAGGTGGCTATAAGCAGTTTTAAAAACAATACCACCATGGGAAGGACTGAAATAAGGCAAGAACTTCACAAACCAAACCGCCAGAAATACCAAGCCTTTATTACAAAGAAAAATTATTCCACAGAAGAGGTTGGCTTGCTTCCATGCATGCTGTCAGTCATATCCACCTGCTGAGTGTGGAGAAGTGCGGCTGCTAGATTCATTAATTCCCCAAGACACCGTTAGGCTTAGTTCTTGGCTACAGGTGCGTGGGCATTTTGATTCAACTGAATTGCTGCTAGAATTTTGTTGCCAGCATTGAATGGACCAAAATAATGAACGTGACTGTTGGACAAGCCAAACACCGCAAGGGAAGAAAAGAAAATGTAAAAACAAGAAAAAACCCCAAAAAACCCCATCACACACTGGACACTGTTATCACTAAGAGAAGTCAAATGACTTGCTTTACATTGTAAATAATTTCACAAGCAGGGAAATGAATATGCTTGAGTCTTATCTTCACTTGGGGAGCGTGAAGAATGTTTGCTGAATCCTTTTATTGGTACGTGCAAGCACACGGTCACAAAGCCTGAAAGCCAGCAGAACTAGATTGAATTAATGTTATCTATTGTTGTTTGGATTTTGAACAAAATTGATGGAGTATGAACCGGTTGATGAATCCTGTTTTATCTGGAAATTTTCTGTTGACAGGCCAAAGGGGCGGAGAACCAAATTCCCAAGATCCTTCAGTTTGCCTACAATGAAAAGGAGAGATAACACGTTAAGTATTAAGCAGAGGGGAAACTCCCATTGAATTATGCCCAACTACCCAGGCCAGCTCTACTAATTTATCTACTAATTTAAGGTGAATGCTGTGGAAATCTCTGCAGTTTGTTGAATTATTTAGGCTCTTACACGAATGAAAAAAATCCCAATTGTGATGTAGTTAATGTCAACTTTGGGGTTGAAAACAGATCACCATGCTGGTTCTGAACGTTTTGTCAGGCAGCCCTGATGAAGAGCCAGCGGCTGCAGACAGTCATGGCTACGTGGTTATAGCTGTCCGGAAGCACCTTACTTCCTCAGTCATAAGCTCTTGAGGCACGAGAGGTTAACAGCTCACAACAAAGCACTGGTCTCCCCTATACTTACACTTGGATACAACGCTGATAGCTGCCAAAATTCAATTTTCTAACACAAAGTTTTCAGTTCTGGTCATTTTTGATGCAGCTACAGCTCTATAAACAATCAACAAACTAGCCAATTTCCCAGACTACCAAAAGAAACAATGAAAGCTAAAGTTCAAACTGCTCATTTGTAATTATTAAAAACCCCTTTCTAAATGTGTACACTGATATAAAGAAAAATAAAACAAATTCATCCTTACAACTGTGTCTGCACCAGCAAACTAAGCAGTTCCATCTGAAGCATACAACTTTACAGCCATTTTGCCTGCAAAAAAACTCAGCATGGTGTCATGCGACATGACATCATTAACTCACTTTCAAAACTACAGTTCTCCAGGACTAACTAGTTGCTAAGAGCTCTAAGCAACTATTATTTAACAAGCATTGTTAAATATACAGTATGACAGTTAATAAAATCTAAAGGTTTCTATCAATATATATATCATACATGCTATCTGACTCTAGAACACCTATAAAAGGGGAAGGGCAACAAAAAGACATCCTTTTTAAAAAATCGTTATCTATATAGAGATGATAGAATAGATAAAACGCATAAAATTAAACAAGAAGCAGAGGCAACAACTTCAATGTTGGCTGAACACAAGCTGAGCCCTGGCACGACAAGACAAAGGAGGAAGATGGCCAGTTTTCCAAGAAAAACATTATTTTCCTCCTGGCTTCAATGCAGAACTGTAACTACTTTCCCAAAGAACAAACAGGAGAAGTTTTGGCAAGTTGAAGCCTACCCGAGGTTTGCATCCACAGGCTACACACCTTTCAAAAAGCATTCTACCTTTACTACATCTTCAAGGCAATGGATTTTGTCTTGCTGGGAGTTTTGTGCATGCACACAGTGGGGAAAAAGTGACAACAACATCTGGCACACAGGAAATCCAGTTAAGCAACTGAAGTAGTCACAATCATGTAACTAAAATGTGCAAATGCCACACCTATTCCTACTTGCATCTGTGTGCTTTCCGCAAGCCATCTTAAGTCACGAGAAACATCTCTGTTATTCTAGTCATCTTCATTTCTATTTCTAAACGAACATATTAGAATCTAACTGCAAAGTCATAGGAACACTTACCATTTAGTTTCTTTGCTTTTCCTAAATTCTTTTGTTTGTTTGAAAACCCTGTTTCTGCCCAGCAGTGCAGCCCAGCAGTGCAATCACCACTACTGCTATTAAGTAAGTTTCCTCACTACAATGCATCAGCCAGAATTTAGTTCAGGCTTTGTTGCTAAGCCATACTGAAGCAGTAACTTCACAGCAGTGATAAAGCAGTATAGAAATGTAAGGAGCAAAGCCGTATGTAAGTTCTTTACAGAAGGAGACAAGCAGTATTTATGTTGCACAAATGGAGTGCAAACAGATCAAGAGATTTGCCTTGCGTGACGCTGCAGGCCTGGGACCACGCTCAAAACAGAAATCGTATCCAAGCCTGAACTTATCCCATGGAAGTATGCCCCTTATCTCTTACAATCTGGCAACAGTTCAAGTCAGGTTGGACACCATCACTATAAACCAAGATACGCTATTTTTTCAATCACATTTCCAAAATTGAATTGGGGGCAGGGGGAGCTTTTTTGAACACATTCACAGAAAATACAAAAAGAAACAATAGCTGGGGAAAAATGTAACCATTTTATTGTAAGGAATGACTAAGTGCTGGATAAAGAAACTAACAGCTAGCGTTACTACGGTACTCCTAAATATGCCAAAGTCATTAAGATCTTGCACCAAAGTGCTGGTTCACAACTGGGTATCTTTCAGAGATTTGTGTAATTACTTTAAAGCAAGATTGGTCTTTGAGAGTCAACATGGAAATTCCGTGGCCTTACACAGGAAAAAAGGCAACCTTCACCTACAAGAGCAGCTAGTTGGTGAGACAGAATTTTTCTTCAATTTGATTTTTTTTTTCTGCGTGGATTAACAGATGAGGTGGTTGAGCGACCTGGCCAAAGTCATTCCAGTGAGTGGCTCAGCTAGGATTAGCTTCTTCGTAGTGGTGGTGGTTTGGTTTTTTTTAAGCTACACCCTGTTTAAGCTAAGTTAACTATTAAGTTCATAATTTTATACTGCATCCTAAAAGCGTTTTGGTTATAAAACTATAAAGTTGTTCATAGCATCTCTATGACTGGGATGAATAGTTGCTATTGTGCTTCTCGACAAACATTTGGTCATTGCTTAGCTTCAGGTTTGGGGTGAGAAGTGTCTTTGTCTACTGGTGGAAGAATCCTGGCGTAGTCTGGCATTGCTAGACCAGTTGTAAACAGTTCACAAGTTACCCAGGCACTGCAGCTGGCTCAGGAGCAGGCAGACGAGTTTGCCCGTTTCAGGAAACTGTGAAAGGTCTTTTCTAATTGGAGTTAGTACGATGGCTCTTTTCTGGTCATCCTAGAGCCAATAAACACAGAACAACTGCCTTGGTATTCTTGCTTGTAGCTAGGCCAGCTCTTTGGGAGAAGCTAAAGACTATACAATATATTTAATACTTTATTCTTCATCTCACCGGGATTGAATAATTAAAACAATACAGTCATAGGTCACCTTCCTGTTCTATCACTTAAATCCATATACAGCAATGCCTTTTGGTGCAGCCACATTTAATAAATTGTTAATGAAGCAGAAGAAAGCCTTGCCTTTTCCGGGAACTCAAGCCCAAAGCATTGCTCCTGCTGTCTTGGCGCACATAAACCCATCATTGTAGGAAAGCACTGTTTCCTCCTCCCCCACTCTCCTTTCATCCCTAAATTAAGATCTGTAGTTAAGTCCAACGTCCCCCTCCCCCCAAAGAAAAGCTCTCTTAAAACAGAGACCGTGCTTGAAGGGAGGAAAAAGGCATGTGGAGCTGTGACTCAGCTGCAAAGAGTTCTCAGCAGTCAAACACTTATTTGTCCCCGAGCAGGGTCACGTTCTCCTCTCTGAGACCGTATTTTCACAGATCTTGTTCTTTATATTTTAGCGAGCGTATGTGTACTTTTCACCTGGAATTCCAGCATGTTAAGTTTCTTCAGCAAAGCAATATTCAGAGGTTAACAGGAAAACTAACTGGTAAAAATCAATTTAGGTCTCAGAAGTCTGTGATTCATTACTCACCTAAAATGCAGTGTAACATACTGCTGCAAAAGGCAGATGCACAAAAAGATTTCTCACGATTTACATTAAGTTGGAACAGCCAAAATTAATGGCTATTCAGTCTTTCTGGCAATAATTCTAGCATAGTTGCTAGTGTTAATGTGGTGTTTAGAAGTTGAAAAGCTATATATTGTTCGTGTTAAGATTTTTTTTTTTTTTTAATAAAAGACAAATTTCCTGATGAAGTCTCATCTTTGTATTACTTTCTGTGTTACCAACATTTCTTAAGCTATTAAAAGAGCGAGGGTGAATCCTTTTCCTTTCCCTAAATGGTAAGTGAGGGCTGAACTAAAAGTAACTGTATATTAGCTCTGGTTTGAACTATTTAAAGTGACCTCCCTATATACAGTATTGGGGTTTAGCAGCTTAGTTGCAAATACAACACACCCTTCAGTATAAAAAATAAGACACTTATTCTTTAGGCACTAAGCTTAATAAACATCTTTGCTGATCTCACATCGCTGGAAAAATCTCTTACTGGCAGAAAGGCCCAGGTGATATGCTCTATAGGCCTTCCCATTAATCACATTGATAATCAAGTACATTTCACTATTTTCTGGAATGCACTCATTTATAACTTAAGCTGAAAGTCCCAATAATTTTTAATTAGATTTGATGAACTCCGTGTGTACAAGATGGGTTATACAGATTGGCATATGTTCCATCCCTTTTTTTTTTTTTATATCCAATATATTTGGCTGCCCTGTAGCCATGCAGAAAACTACTGTTGTCACAGCCCCCAAGCTGCTAAACCTTGCTAAAACTATTCCAAACTTCCCCTCTTCTCACACCCTCTCCCCAAAGGAGCTGGTCCTAGTTATCACAATAATTATAGTTTCTCTAAACAAGACTAGCTTGTTGCACAATAGCTGGAAATCTTTGGCTTTAAAGTCAGAAGAGAAATAAAAGAGCACAGAAAATGGTCAGTATATGTTCACGTCCTGGGCAATTACTAAGGCAGAATACGCTCACGTTATGAAAGCATAAAGGGAATTTTTTTTAAAAGTTGCTTTTGAAGTGTGCTATAAGTTAAGCTTTCATTATGTGAAACTCAGAGGTTAGTTCGTACTGAGCAAACTTCAGTGGCAAGTGGCAGCGCTAACCTGCAAAGGCTGAATGGAAAATATGAAAATAATTTAAATACAAATGTCAGCTTTGGAAAAGTTAGACCCTTGCAGAACACATAGCAGAAATGGACTTGGTTTGGCAGCAAAACATGTTTTTTCTAGTGACATCAACTTCATCCATCACATGCACTACCACTTGCACACAGGAATTCATAGTTAGGTAGCCTGGAGGAAAAATCCAGCCAAGAATGTGTACTCTGATTTATTTACACACAATCACTTAAGAAGTGGTTTCAGCTTCTGACAAACTCTGTGGTAATGAGCTGTAGCACTGGAAAACAGGAAACACACTTGGGGAAGGAGGAAGATGCACTCCATTTATTCTGGTTTGTTTGTACACAGCTCCAGTTTTCATGACAGTGTTAGTTGGGTATACCAGGACTTAGTTTTAGTTGAAAGAATACAAGCCTAGAAAAACAACGTTACTGGCTGATTCATTGACTAAAATAAGAATTCAATATCCAAACTTCAAAGGAGCCAAAGCATGAAGTGTGACATTCTTTCTAAAGATTTTGTTGGTGATTATTTTAAGTTTAGTGTCAGTGCTCCTGGACCAGGCCTAGCCTGCAACTATTTGGATGCATCTGACTTGCCCTCCCGGAACCAAAAAATCGGGGGTACAACCCAGACACCTGAGCTGACAGTTTGTAATGGTGGTTTATAAAGCTGGATTTATTCTTTCAGTATAGTCCCCTTGTGATTAGTGAGGCCCTTTAGACATTGGTAACAATGGTACAAAGGGAGTGTTCAAAAAGGATCAGGAATTGTTTTCATATTACTTTGTGTTGAAACCTATCCCATGTCCTACAAATGGGCATGATCCTTCTGGAGATTTTCTGCATTTGTCATTTATTTACAGCACTATCACACTTAACCTTCTTTATTTATGGCTTGTTCTAAGTACAATGGTGGAAACAGAATCTGATGATGTAAAGCTCTAGAAAGCCTCACTGCAACTTTACTAGGTCAAAACAGGTACAAAGCAAGAGATAATCAGACTCCCTGCACAGCAAGAAAAAAAATAAAGAAAAACATCAGCTTCAGCGTAAGCCCTTGAAACAGCCTCTTCTTCCAAAAAATGTTAAGAATTAGTGATACAGTATGCAAGACAGACTGAATTTATTTAACCTGATTCTCTGCAGAATAGCAAAACACTGTCTTCCCCTTTCCCATCCCAAACCCTCAAAGCCTACTCATCTTAAAATAGCATTTCATCTACTACTTGTCACACCTAGAATGAGTAAACAGATAACTACCAAAAGCTATTTCTGAAAGAGGTTAGGTACACTTAGTTTATCTTAGATTGTCGTTTGTCCTTACTCTTTTGTGTGGATTTTCTAAACAGTACAAATGAAAAGGTTATATAAAAATACCCCTTTTTAAAAAGCACCAGAATGTCAGATGGGCTTATGTAGTGTCTGAACCTGTAAGAATTAACAAACCCTGTTAACTAGGAGACAGCAGACAATGTTGACAGCAGTCTTTTTTTGGGCAGGAGGTTCTCCCCAAAACAGTTAGTTTAACCATAACATTGTGAGTGGTGCAAGGAAGTACTTAAGTTTACACAAGAAAACCAATCTTGCCTGGGCAATCTTATAAGTAGTTATCCTCTTGAAATACATCAGTCCAGTTAAGATATTATTCAAGCAATACCATACAACATGATGATGGGGGCACATACATTCAAATGAGTTATATTAATTAAATTCTCTTTTCTACAAACAAGCAGTCTCAATAGTATCCTTCGGTATAGAACTGTGAAAACTCAAGAGACAATGAGCTATGCAGTTAGGAAATCTAATTCCACTGCTAGCAAGGTCAGATGCCTGTTTGTAACACTAGGTAGGTCTAATTCAGCCTCCACGCAAACAGAACTGAAATACTATATAAATCAAGGTAAACATGAAGACTTGGAGATCTATAGGTTGGAAGTGCTACAAAAAGAACCAAATTTATTTCTTCAGACACAAGCTCAAACATGCTCAGTTATTACAGCTGGTTGACTTCTTTTACGTAAAGGTTTAGTCAAAACCCTGTTTTATCCCTTTCATGGGAATGTTTCCTTTGAAGGTTTACTTGCAGAGAGAAAGTGCAGAGCAGTTGGTCTGTTTCAAACCATTTTCCCCTGCTTTTACATGCATCAATATTAAGTTGTTTTAGAAGGTCTTGAGCATTTCTTTCCTTAAGTTTAACTAATAGCCTTTTCTGTATGGGAGAATTATTTGGCTAGAACTCACTGTAGGGTGAAACCAAGCAATAGAGAACTACGAAGAAATCAGGACTCTTGTTTAACACAGAAGTATTTCCTTTAAGATTTACCTTCTTTAAATTTTATACAAGAGATTCTACTCATGCATTTTTATTTTTCTAGTAGACTATGAAGATTACTGTGCAAGTTATATGCACACGCTACTTACCTAACATTTCTTTCTTTAATTTTTCATTCCGCTCTTCAATTTGTCTAGGTAATCGCTGTGGAGAGAGATAAAAATTGGAATCAGACCTGTGCTTTCAGTAATACTGTAGATTTAGCTTATGGAATGTTCAGACACATACTCAGGATACACTGTTTATGGCTTAAAAGGAATCCTTATGTCAAACCACACTTTCCTCTTATTTTGGAAACCTGTAATTCATCCTATGACATCAGTTCACATAAACAGTAAGTCGTAACTTGTAAGTGCAGGTTTCATACAGGCATACATTTTTACTGCTGAAAAACAGATCTGATCTGTTTGCTTGGGATTTTAACTGAAAAGCTTATGGAATTTGAGAGACTTAAAATTAAAGTATATTTTAGCCCTATCTCCTCTGCTGCATACATTAAATTTGGTAAGAGAGGTTAGAACAACTAAGCAAGCATAGCACTTGACTTCTGAACATATCACAGGTGTAATGAGGAAAACATCCATAAAGTCCGTTCGCAATGGCATCACACTTCAGGGAAATCTGCACTGTGAAAACACGTATGTCTTCTAAATACAAATATTTTATCAGAAGATCACCGAATTAACTGTCTATGAACTTCAGGACATAGATTAATGAGCAGCATCTTATTATGCAATATACGGCGTAGTTCTAAGGAGGACAGGGTGTTACAAACAAGGGCCTTGACCTGGCAATTGATCACGGGGAGGGAAGTCCAACAGTTCATCCTGAGCAAGGTACTAGTCCAAGTAACAGTTCATTAATGTGCTTTTTCCCTCCTCAGAACTGACATCAGTATTAAAATCTGTTGCACCATCACAAACAAACTTATCACATTTCTAACGAGCATTATGTAACTGCATGGTCTATGCATTCCTAATGATTTGAGACTCCCATTTATGCCTAGAACAGCTGTGACTCATCTTCCATCCTTACACAGTACTGGTGTTTTGCTATATGATTGTAATGATAATTTTTAATTAGAATTTTATATTCACTACAACTAAATTTACCATTGTATCATTTAAATTTTGCATTTGCTATACATCAGTTAAATACAATATTAAAACAAAATATATTACGAATGACAGTCACTTTTTATACATCTTTTTCATATTTTGCAGAAGTACTATTTCAAGCTTTTATACTGTGCTTATTACTGGATAATTCTGCCAGTTCTGCATGCAATTATATGCATAACTGCTGTCTCTTCTTGTGGAGGTCATAGCAAATAAGACAGATCTGCTGTAATGGTGCTATCAGTAAATTAATTACAGTTGCAGACTATGGTAACAGGTGTGGAATTCACTCCTGATACAATTCCCTTGTGGTAATTGGCTTCTCAACATAGTTAAAGAATTCATTTCCTAATCTTGTTTCTTCCTGTCATTTACAGCTCCAGTCATCGTGGATAGGTTTGTCATCCTGGTATCATTGCTACAGTGAAATAAGATGTTCACCTCAAGAAAAAGCCCCTTGACAAGGCTGCCTGACTATTCCTCTCCTCTTCAATGCAGGATACACTGATGAACACAGGCAAATACAGTTCGTTTTCTATAGCGATGGGGAAGAGAGGCGGTACACCCCAGAAAAAAAACCAGAAAAATGAGTACTAAGGAATACAATGCAGATATATATGGATGGCTAAGCTTGAAACTAGCCCAGGCCCAGCATCACCACCAGTGAGCCAGATCTAATTAACACAGTCAGACCTCATCTGACTCCTGCTGACCCAGAGGGGCTTATTAAGTTGGGTGCAGATCTGGACCTAAGCTGCCTGCATGAAAACATGTGTGGATATCCCCAGGCTCTAAATTCAGTTTGCATTGTGGCTGTGAGATTTGCTGCATCTTGGATGAGTTTGGCATATATAACGTGTCTCTCTCACATTTGGACGTTAGGCTTTAGCAGGAAATAAAGACACAAATCCTTTATCCGAAACACATACTCCATGTTTTGTCTGTCCGATACTACTATTCCAAAGACTCAGCTTTTCTCACTCCAAAAATGTATTTGCAAGGTTAGTTATCTACAGAAAGGTGTCCGTAAGGACAGCTATTTATCTGGTGTCTATGATACTTATCTCAAAGTACAGCTTGTTTTGGTAAATAAGTTCATCTGGCCTGCCAATCCCTCAAAAACTGTGTTGAAGCTAAAATTCACACAACACTGTTACACACCTGCTAAAAACAAAACCTACAGATTGATACCATATAATTAAACACTTTCTGGGAAAGCATCAATAGGGATTATCTGACCACAAAACATTATAATTTCAAACTGTTTAATTTGGCATTGAAGATGTCAAAAGTAACTGAAGTGTGTGACACCAGGATTTAAATCCAAACACTAGCACTGTACTCCTGAAATATAAACAGTACTGAAATTTTAGAGCAGCCACCAAACCAGGAATCAAAGCAAAGAACTACTGTGTATTTAATATTTATAAACTGTCTTTTAGCAAGATCATGACATTCCCTAAAGCAGTATGTGAAATATTTTCTATGTACAGGAAGGAGAAAGATTTGCTCTAACAGTGAATGAACCTAATTTGCAGATTCTCTTGATGCATCATTTTTATTACCAGTGAGGGGGAAAAAATGCTGCGATATTTCTGCAAAGAGAAATGCATTTTACCTTACAATAAAGCAAAGCTTCTTAGTCTCTTACATATTAGATATGTTAACCACATATGTGGAGTCAACATTACAGCTGGAATTGTTTTTTTATTACGAAATTTAGAGATTATGAATATTTTAAAAAGTGTAAAACTGGCTATCAGTATTTCCTCAACAATTTTTCAAGGGAGAGTTTTAAGCTTCAGACTCAAAAGATTGTCAAGTTTCAGGGTAGAAGCAAAGAACAAACTGGCTATCAGTATTTCCTCAACAATTTTTCAAGGGGAGTTTTAAGCTTCAGACTCAAAAGATTGCTTCTACCCTGAAACTTGACAAAGAACAGGACCAACTCAGGGCAGAATGTCCTAAATCGCGCTGCAGTGTAAATTAAGGGCATTTTGTACAAAGTGTTCTGCACCACATGTGAGCCTGAAGCCTCTGCCTAGTAAAATGAGGTCAAGGAGCAGAAGGTATATGAAACAGTCAACCTCTGTACTTCCCAGCTACAAAAATTAAGAATAAATTACTGATCGTTCTAAAGCATTCCTGAAAGATGGCCAGGAAGAACAGCAGGACTGTTTATGATTCTCTTCTAGCCCAAATCTCCATTGGTTACTGAGCAAGGGCTCTTTTGTGAGACTACTAGAGGCATACTCACTGAAAGAAAATTGTGGTTTTGCAAGAGGTATAAAGGACAGTATCTATATTTTCAGGGCGTTCCAATCAGCCAAAATATATGTATTTTAAAACTCCTTATATTTTGTACCAACTACTGACAGCGTTCCCAAGTCTTAATCTGTGGAGTCCTGACGGGTGGATCATAACAATCTGTTTGATCTTCTCAGTTGTTCTTTGTATGATGAGCTGCTAAAACGCACTCCTTATACACTAATACTATTTCACCAAGTAACTGGCTAGATTACACTAGGCCTCACTCTGGAGCTAGTCTAGTGCTAAAAAACTACAAGCTACAGAAACTAAAGCCCATCATTTCCTTTAGAAATGTTAGCAGACTCCTTGGCTGAATTCCTGGATCAAATAAGCCATAGTCTCAGCTAGAAGACTATAAACAAGGCCAACACAAATACTCTTTTCTGGACTGTGATGAACCCATCACATTCACTACGCATGCAGTAATGATGTTTGACAAGCTTGTCGTTTATTAAGCCATTGCCAAGAGCTAGGTGATAAAGTGCTCTCCTGCTCTCAACCAGATGCATGCAACAAGCATCAGGGGGTTGTTTCACAGTACAGTAAACTGACCTTGTCAGTGGGTGCTGCAAAAGGGATGGCCCCAATTCCTGTACTGCCTTGACCATGTCTTCTTTCCTTCTCACTAGCATTTGCAGTGGGACTTGTCTGACTGTAAAAAGCCAAGGCAATAGAAAACTATTTACTTTGGGGTTTTCTGGTTGCTGGCTTTTTTTTTGCTTGCTTGTTGCTGTTTTTCCCTTTAGCAGAGTTCGTTGTCTGCCAGACTCACATATAGAGCCAGCCACCCCCTAGGGTCGGACATGAGCTAGTACCAGCGCTAGCACAAGGAAAGCAACCGGACAGCTTCGTAAGAGCGGGCAGTTAGTAGATCAGTTTAGCTGTTTTGTGAAACCATACCCTTACAGGAGTTACACAGTTAAGCAGAATATTTTTCTGCCATCAGTGCAACTGATTCAGTCCCAAAGGAACTAATTTCAGACCAGGCTTCTTGTCTAATAGGCTATAAAAGCAGTTTCTAATCTGTCACTTACAACACCATAGTATGGAGAAAAGGGGGGCGGGGGGCAATCACTACTAATGATTTATTTTCCCAAATGGAGAGTTAAAACAGTTAAACCTAAGCCTTTCAACATTACTTCTGCATCAACATATTCAAAGTGGTTTTAGAGATAATTTTGTGGGTGAAGCAAATTATTTTCTTTTCTTTATGGGGCAGAATATGTTGCAGGTTCACTGATGTGAAGCTGAACTAAAATAATGACACTCTTTGAAAATTTAACCAGATATAAATAAAGTCAAATATTTGCATATGGATTTGGGTGCCCAATTAAGAATTACGTTCTAAAATTGCATCCATTTACCTTAAAATGGAAGTAAAGAATACTGCTGTTGTATTCCCTGCAGAAGACGGTCAGCTCTTTCCAGGCTCTCTGGTGCTTGCAAACCATTCACCTACCATGACCTGAAGCTCCCACTTTGATAAAAAGTGACGACCGCTGTACTTTTTATAGTGGCTACCTTTCATTAGCACATGTTCCTTCAAAACCACAGGCTGTCTGGCCCAGTCTCCACCACATCTGTTTTCAACACAGCCTTCATAACCTCTTTTCAAAAATAAGAACAGCAAGCAGCCTGTAAGAGGAGCTTTCTGCACAAAATAAATTTCCCTTCTTGCTACCCTTGTGAAAAGACCCTCTGAACTTGTCAAATCCACAGCTATTTTCCACACTGAGCATTAACATACTAAATATCACTAGAAAAATCACTTCCTGCTGGTATTTTACACAAAGAGTTACTTAAAACCTCAAATCAGCAGGCTGTGGCAGTGACTTTAAATCCCCATTGAGTAGGGATTATTTACATGTTAGACTGGGGTTTCAGGAACTACTAGGGGTTTACCTTTTTTCATCCAAGCTGACACATCCTAAAGGCCAAGGAAACTTTTAAAGCATTTCCTTACACTTTCAGAGATATGGCAAAGATTCTGCAAGAAATGTTTAATCCTTAAGTATTTGTAATTTCATTGAAAGTGGACATTGGAACACAGTACTAAGCACCAGAATTCTTCTTTTTTCAGAATGAAGAAAGTAACTGAACCATGAGAGTGCTGTTTGCAAACACAAGGTGCCTTTTTCTTCAAATGAAAGGCTAAGTTTTTGAAGATTAATAGCAGGCTTCAGTCACTGTTAGTAAAATAACTCAGTGCCCAATACACACACAAGGCATAGCAATGAACAAGAACAGAAAACAGCTAAATCAAGAAACAAAAATACCAACATTTTAAAGTAGATACAAACATAGATACAGACTGATAGAATCCTATCTCTTTGCCATTCTCAAAGTTATATAATCAAGTCATCAAAAAAAGTAATTATTTTATAATTATGCCATAAAGGCATTCGACTGCAAATTTACCAATCAGAAAAATAATTCTACTGAAAGAAAACCAGACTCCCACTAATCAAACAGCTAGCAAGAACTGCATTATAGGGTGCTTGTATTCTGATCTCCAAATTGCAGATCCGTACTGAAATGATGGCTACTAGAATGCAGCAGTGGTTCAGGCAACCTCTTCTAGCACATGCATAAATACAATTCACAGCCTCAATCAGAAAACTAGAATGAAGTGTGTGTGTGCACGCACGCACCATTCAACAGCTAAACATGTAATTACTTGCTTACAGCTCAGAACACACATTTACTTTCACTCATTTTACAAAGGTAAAAGGAGGACTATGCTTTATGGACCTGAGACTTACCATGGAAGTTCTGGCAGTTCATGTAATCTTCCGTACGTAAAACCAGATGAGAAAAGCACCACACTTTCAGACTCAAAAATATTTATCACCACTGCATATGAAGCTGCTTGCATAAACAGCATTCTGTATTTAGAATAGGAAAGAAAGGACCTTGGTTTAAAGTTAGGCCAAAGTATACCAAAAAGGCTTACCATGCAAGCTTCTCTGGCTTGATGAACTGATGAGTCTTTTTCTAGGACTGCCTTATAATCTTCCAGAGCTTCATCTAGTTTTTCTGTTTTTTCATATAGTTCTGCTCTCCTCAGCAAAGCTCTAATATAGTTAGGATCTAATTCCACTGCTAGAAAACAAAAACAAAGCACAGTATTTTACTTGAAACATTTCTACACCCCTCAAATGAATTCTTAAGTGTGTATTAAATTCTCAAGTTATCTTTATAATGTAGCTTAGAATCAAGCAGAGTCACAGTTTTAAAAGCTAAGACATAATTCAGAAAGGCATACATCTGCCCGTGAAAGTCTAACGCAAATGTTCACATTTCATTTAATGACTACAGTCTATCGCAGATACAAGTGATTTATAATGCCCAAACATTTAATTTTGCAATACTATATATGCAGAGATTCTAAGTGATGCTTCAGAAATGTTAAGGACCTGTAAGATATTCTTCAGCTTTTGTATATTTAGTAAGTATGTACTATTAGATTACAGCTAAAGTTAAATATACCTAAAGATACACATAGCAGGGAAAATAAGCATTTCCCTGCTTATCTCAGTTCAAGTTGAGACAAACTCCAGGAGAACTACTGGCATTCTTCTGAATTTAGTATCAAACAGTCGAATTTGGGTTGGGAATCCACAAACGGTTGTTAGCTCTACAAGTTAGCAGAGGGGCATACTGACTGAATTTAAGCTTTTCCTCTTCTTATTCCCTTGGCAGCCATGACCGTGTTTACAGATGCGGTTAAGACTGAATGCTAAACTTAACAGTAACCTGCAAATGGTAATTTCTCAAGAATTTCTTCATCCATTTTTCATCATAGAAAGAGGGAATATGAAAGACTGCCCATTTTATAATTACAAACCCATTAAAATGGTTCTCAGGACAATTAAATCTAGGATTATCTAGCTAAATATTCTAGCTTGTTTCTTCTGGAAAGACAAAGACAATGCTACCATCAGCAAGTTGCAGGTTAGTGTGAATTGCTCTGCTGTGTTCCAAGTGTTGCATTGCAGTTCGTAAGCCAAGCCCCTGGGGAGTGTCAAGCGATGGTAGGTTTAAGTCTCACTGCTGCAAAGCAGACCGATTCCCTTTCAGCCAATACAAAATTAGCAGAAGTGTTTTTCAAAATGCACCACCACCAAAAGAACCCCCGAAGTGACAGAGGCCAGCTAGAATTTGTTACCTTCAAGAATACTTGTAGCATGTACAAACTCATATTTACTGTACAAGCAGTGCTGGCATGCAGCCATTGGATTAGTTTTCTGATTGGTAATTTGGACTTTTTTCCCCAGCTATCATGGGGAGTTTAACAAATATTCGAGCATGGGTGAGTGGGTGGAAGCAATAAAGCAATGCACAGCTGAAATGATTTCACCAGAAGTTGCGGAGAGAAAGCTATGCAGGACGAGAACAGGAGAGCATAAGCTCTTGTGACAAAGCAAAAGCCTTGCATAAAAGGGACTTGATAATGCTTTTAATTCTATAAGGCCTCACAGTTCTTTGGAATCTGGGATTAAACCAAGATTTGGGGGGGAATGGCAGGTGGAAGTGGGTTTAAAATAGTAGGTGTAAGGAAACAGCCTCTGTAATAAAAAGACTTTCCTGTTAAAAAAGTACAAACAGCAGCCTTATTGGTACAAGAGAATAGAAAGTAAATTATTACAGACAGGAAAAGTTTGATAGATATTTTACAAAATAAATAATATAAATAATTCTAGATTCAGGTGTCTTCCACCACAGCTTTTCTATAAATTCTTTAAAGACACTTATGCCCAAAATTACAGCTCTGCAGTAAGGCACTACCTGGCATAATTACGTATGAGAGACCTGGCACAAGAGCGGCACACAGAAAAAAAAGTCATACCTTTGCTGCAGTCACTTAGGGCAGCTTCCATCTTGTCCTAGAACACAAAATAGTTTTGTTATATTTAATTCATATTTCTTGGGAAACAGATTATTTACAATTGCAAGCAAAAAGGTTTGTCTGGCATTCCAAGGAACTGGGATGTTCATGTAATCAAGGCTTTTCATACCGTTGCTTCTGATGTAAAGCTCTTTACCAGTGATTAGCATCCTCTCTGTGAAGGCTGCCAGTGTTCAAATTGCATGGCTGCCCCACTAATCGGTCTGCACTGAACAGCCGGCAGCAAGCTACAGTCAAAAGGCTGAGTCATATCTGCAGGCCTTGGCTTAACCGAGCTACAGCTTTTCTACCTTTGTCAAATAATTGGGGGGTTGGAATAGACAGTTCCCAAGACTCCCAGATAAATTCTTGTCTGTACGAGCTAAGACATTTGGAAAGCAGATACTGCCTTTAGCACTACTACAGCTTTCTCTACAAGGGACAATGCATGAGAGTTCCAGAAGTGGTAGGGATGAGATTTTAGTGCACCCAGACAACCATAGTTAGAAGATAAGAGCCAGGCAATCTGCTTATAATGAAACAAGAAGGAAAAAAAAAACCAAACCCCAAATTGCTGAGACAGAGATCCTATTTTCATTCAAACTAAAAGGACTTAAAAATAAAAAACAACCAAAAAATCTCTAGGCTGTTCTGTGCTTGTATTGTTGATCTAAGTAGCAGTAATCTTTCTACACCCAAGGAAGTATTTTCTTCTCCATAAAACAGAAGCTGTCTCACAGAAGAATGCCTCACAAGCTTTTATTGTAGTGCAAAGCAAATGGGTGCAGCAGTTATGGAAGAACAAACTTAATGGGGAAGTTATTAATAATATTAATAATATGAATCTATTTTCAGAGTAATGTATTGGTCTGTCAGGTTCCACTGATCCATACTGGTGAGATACACTAGTTTGTGCATAGTTCTTCTACCATCTTGGGCTCCTTTGGGGACTATTGGATTAGTTTCCCAGTGATATGAATAGTTAACATCTGTATTATGAGGAGGTTTTCTAGTTTAAAGCTTTCATATTTGAAAGGTTACAGCATCTGTTATTACAGATTTTGTTCAATTTTTTCCTTGTCTGCTCAAACAATTCAGTATCCCAACAGTGAATTAAATAATTCTAGCCAAACAAGAATACTCTATGCTGAGTAAGAATTATATTATAATAATTTAATCTTAAAAACAAAGGCAAAAATAGGGAGTAATTTCCCCTGAATTCTTAGTATCTCCTCTTTCTAAAGAAGTGAAAGTTTCTGTTCAGACAGATTGTGTTCTATGCCTTCCACGCTACCTCACTGCATTGCTGATTCTGGTAACATCTGCGCACCTGTCCCCAGTCAAGGACTAGAAAACATATGAAGAAAGCTGTAGCCATTCTATCCAGACCGTGCCCTACTATACAGGTCTGTCCTACTATATAGCAACTGTGAAGGAAGCAGACTAACTGAACTAATAAAGCCATGGTTAGGAAGTCCTGCTTATGCCTCAAAGCATTTGAGCCAATTAAATGAAGACAAGTATATGACAATCCAGGCTTTTAGAAAAAGCACTAGCTAGCTACAATTCTAAACAATCTAACACATGGTCTGCATACACGAAATATGCTTAAAGACATCTGTTCCACATGAACTTTGAATTTCCTTAAAATAGAGAGAATGAAAGAAAAATCAGTGTTTTAAACATAATGCAGCAGAGCAACTTTGAACATCTGTTCCCATTGCAACTTTCAGGTTTGTATTCATCCTCGGTAAAACCAAGCGTACCAGCATTTCTACTGGGAGCATGAGAGACTGAGCAAGCAGCAAAACCTGCGAACAGCTTTATTCCTTTGCCCTCCTTTATGCACCCCTAATGACTTCATTATTGCCTTTGTCATATAATCAATGCATTCATAAAATAAAAAGAATATTCACCTGTTTCATTTTTGCAGCAGCTCTGTTTGAAAACAAAACAGCCCTATCTTTTTGGAAGCACGCTGGACAAATCTGCAGAGCCTTCGTATAAGAGTCCTCCGCCTCTCCATAGTCTGCAGATGCAATAGGAAAAAACCCAAACCAGATCATTTATTTCAAATGCCAGTACAGTCAGTGAACCACATGGCTAAGATTTCTTTGGAAACATTTCTCAGTATATGATGTAATGTTAAACCAGAATCAGTAGCTGCTCTCAGACAAAGGGCATTACTAAGTAGTACATAGATCAATGACAATTAATTATTTTAAAATCAACACCCTTGTAAAAGCAGAAATATAGTCCTGAGCTTAATGTAACAAGTGCAGCATGATGTGCATATAATTCTCATCCCTGAAATCGTTTCATTCTATTTGAGTATCAGCCTTAGAGGTAGAATCTCTTTAGATTAAGTGTATCCTTGATCTGAAAGGAAGCATCTGCTGAAACATGCCACTGTGCTGATACCTGTTCAAAGCAGCTATGGAGATATTTTATTTGCCACATCATCTCCAATGACTGACTTAAAAGGTCAGTCACCACAAACCCATTATCACCTGAAGGTCATCCGTCATCAAGTCTGGTCTAAAGCAAGGACCAGTGGTAAACCACACAGGATTATCAAGTTATGCATTTTCTAATAAAGGTAGAGTCAAGAGTGAAAACGCCCTATACTGACTCTGAACAATGCCCTGCCAGCTGACAAGTGCATTGTCCTCAAAACAGAGCAATTCTTTCTGTGCACATTAGCTGGTGACCACCCAGGTGCTTAAAAGGTTGTGTATTTCTGATTAGTAAGCACTTTGTAGGCACAGGCACACTGAAAGATCTGCCAAAGAGTCTGTCAAGAGGCGGCTATGGATGAGACTTCACAAGATGATTCAGCCAACATTACAGTTTGCTGCTTTCATGGTCGAAGCAGTTCCCTTCTGCCTGCTCTGATGCTTGCCTGAATTGGTAAATCATTCCCCAGGAATCTTGCTCTCTTAGCACACAATAAGAGACCTCCAACAGGAAGGCCACTGTCTGGTTATCAGGTATACTTCTGGGAAGGGGAAGTTACTTGTTTGTGTCTCGTCTGACTGAGGAAAATATGAATCTACATTTCCTGGTTTCTTTGTGAATCCTCTAGCCACTAGAACATTATATGACAGGTGGGTGTCAAAATCACTTCCCCGTTATGTTTTTTAATTAAAAGCATTGGTACAGTTATTTATTACTGACCTCAACCCTGTTGTTATTTATTAACTATGTTCAGAACATGTCCACTTCTGCATAAGCCAGAACTTCACATACCTCTAGTTTTTTTTTTTTAAATATATGTATGTGTGTGTACATGTGTATCTCTATACACAAATATACATGTGTATACATCTCTATATACGCATATACACAAATGTATATACATGTATGTGTATATGTATATAGATGTACATGTAAGCAGATATAGACGTACATATGTGTGTGTACGTATATACAGATGTCTATATATACGTACACACACATACATAAATAAAATGTATAACAGATAGAGTCAGTGGATAAAAAGAAACATGCAAATGTACAAAGGTGTGAGGGAGCTACTGAGCCACTGAGTCCTGCATCAATTCTAAGCACACGCATTAGCAAAACTCGGAGCACAGTGGAAGCCTTTTTTGATTAGTAAAAGAAACCCTCACGCTTGGAAGGCAGTCAATTCTGTATCATGTTCTTGGGTTTAAATACTTAGCTTTCATGAGAATCCTGCTTTAGTAATCCAAGTCTTTGTGATTTAAGCTTAACTCTTAAGGAGGTCTGCTATCTCCTTCTGTTCTCTAGATCTGGATGAAAAATGATATAGATGATAAATTTGAACAATGATAGGTGTGAGAACTTCCTATGGGTCTTCTGCAACATCACCATGATGGCTAAGTATTAGTTTAAGATTCTCTAACATCCATATGGTGTTAAAAGATTATCAACCCACCTCCTTTCTTGAACTGCTCATTTCCTTTCTCCTTCAGTGTTGTGCTCTCCTTTCTTCTTTTCTACAAAAGAAAAGACAATGTCTCAAAGTATTTAATTGAAATGAGCAAGTAGGTCAGCTGCAGTTCCAAATAAAGTATGAATGGAAATCAGAATAAAATATAACCTGAAGAATTGTAACCAGTACCGAGATTGCTTGCTTGTACTCATTGTGACGTGATATACTTTATATATCCATGAAACACTGGAGTATAACAACAAGGCAGTTAAAAAGCTCCAGTTCATGGACAACAGTATGCAGAAAGAGCATTCATAGTGAATTACATGGTTTAAACTAATACATTAGCTTTTTAGCTGGCTGTTTGCTTGTCCTTTCCAACTCAGTTTAATTCAATCAGTGCAGCTCAATTATGTAGAATATATTTCAGATGTAAAGTCTCAAAAGTTTTGCTTGAAATAATTCCACCTCAGAAATTCAGTTACTTTCAGAGATGTACAAAGCATGTTGAGCTGACTGCATTAGAAACAGGTCCATGGATAATACTGCCCTGAAAGATTTCTTATGCAGAGAGCGACTAAACCATCAGACCCAGACACGGGAAGATTGTTCTGTTATACAGTGAAAATTGCACATGCTGAGCAGAGTTGTGTTTTCAACCATGAATATCTTAACAGTACTCTTGGCACAAGTGAAGTTGACATGAATGCTCTTAGCCTCTGACACAGAAAACACAGGATGTCATCAAGCCATCTCTTCAACCTATTTACAATGGAAGTCTTTCACATGCAAACATACCTCACACAAGTAAAAACAAAGCAGTATAAGTAAGACAGTAACATCAAGAAGCAATGCTCATGTTCATGAATCATTTCTATGGTAGAAAAATGATCATTTGACCACTGATTTTGCCCCCAACACACATGCATACACAAAGGATTTAAATCAAGGTGTCTATAAATTACAGATCATTGAGCAATTAAAAAACCAACACTAGGAAAAGGAGCAGTTTCTTTTCCTGCAGACTGTGTAAATCAAGGATTAATGCAATTATCAATATCGCACAGAACATCTCCTTGGAAACAGCTAAATATAGTACTCTTTGTGGAGCACTGCACCATCTCACAGCTATGCCAAGTAGCTGACAAACAATACAAAATCAGAGGTTCTCTCCTCTTGCTTTTATTGGTTTTGGAAACTAATTTACCCGACCACTGTCACCATCTTACTGATAACAGATCACAATGCTCTGAAAACTAGATTCAGGGGAATGGCATTCAGTTGTGACACACAAAATTACACAGTAAAATATCATCTGACCCTTTTGATACATGCCTAGATAACTAAATTTTTTCCTATCACCTATTAAATATCTTTTCTAATACTCATTGCGCCTCACATTTAAAAAAACCTCAAAACATGGGTCAGACAAAACATGCACCACTATTTAGAAATTGGCTTTCCTCCAGGGTGGACTGACAAACCTACACAAGTCCTTCCACAATGTCACTTGCATCAATGTACACATCAATGTTGGTGCTTTCTAAATATGAGCATACAAATAAATTTAAATACTTAAGGCACAAGCTGCATTGAAAGCACAAATTCTTTCTATATATGCAGGATTCTGCTGTTCAGCACAGGGAGTACGTAACTGCAATTGAAAGCTATACCCAAACTTTCGAAGTGCCAGACAGAACAGCTCCAGCAAGGTCACTGCCACACGCACTGTCGGCCCTCCACAGAAAGAAATTTTTAAAACATCTTGAATGCATATAGTGTGAAAGTAATTATAGAATTAATTTTCATACCAGTGAAAAAAGCAGCCAGATTTCAGCACAGAACAGGTTTGGAGATGATGATCCTACTGGAAAACATGAAAGATCTACATAGATGACCCTCATTCAAGAAAAGAAATGCTTGAAACGCTAGCCCTACTGACTTCATTGCTCATGACCTACTTAGAACTGGCCTTTAAGTGCCATTAACTGATTCACTGTTGCATAAGGTAGAGTTACAACTCTACAATAATGAAAGAATTTTTGTCATATAAAATGAGAACTACAGCACGGTCACAGTACTCCTGATGCAGAAACCCTAAAATCAAGGAACACTGGATGAAAAGCTTTACCTGTATTATCATTATTTTGTTTCATTTTATTAAAATGTTTACAAAATATTATATGTTTACCCCAATTAAGTATTAAATGCAAATATAAAAAGTGATTTGCAGCAAGAAGGCTTCAGGAAAATAAGTTGGGTTTTTTTTTTTAAATATAAAGAAGAGTTAAAAGAACAAAAAATATTCTTCAGTTGTGGGATTCCTTCTCAGGTAGCCAAGAGGATTGTGACCTAGAGTCTCAACAGCACAGAAGAAAGACCGAGGTGGCTGTATGGCCATGTTCACTGGGGAAACATGGGCAAATGAAAGTTCTGAGCAACTGAAGAGTTTAAGGACTGTCACACTGGGAAGCTAAGGATTCATATAACTCTCCTGCTCTGAAAGCCGTTCCTTGGTATGTCCTCTTGCCTGCGAATCAAACTGCACAAACTTGAAGGATAGAGGACTATTAGTCACATAACTGTTACAGACATACAAGTGTCAGTGACAGTTTTGCGGTCACTTCTATTTGACCAGAAAAGGTGTTGTCTAAGCACGTTTCAGAAGCCAGCAGCATCGTTAAGAACACTGTATATGGTTTTGCATCTTACTTAGCCCCTTGGAAAGCAGCAATGCAAGCAATGCAGTCCTGGTTCAAAACCAGTATTTCTATTATAGCTTGACCAACATTTTCAAGATATCCCTGTATTACGGGTTTCAGGATGTCCCTTAAGTTCCAAACTACAAGTTTTCACAGTATTTTTCAAAAAGGTAAGGTCTACAGGGTATCTCATGCATCATTCTGGCTTTGCATTTGAAGTATGACCTGGCAAGTGATACATAGTAGCAAACTATCCCCCAAAGCAAATTCCTCTGGCTTTTCCACAAAAAGTAAAAGCATTTGTATTAGCACGTCACATCCTAAATGCACTGCCCTCTAAAGTGCACTATGTATTTGTGAAATAAATACATCATTTATTCCTCCATATATACATTTCTTTAACAGAAACTCCTAACACAAAAGCAGTGGAAAGTCAACTATTTTGGATGAATTTACATTTAACCTGAAAGGACTGCTCCAATGGATGCTGTTAGAATCTGTCTTCCATTCAAATTCAGGGTAAAAAAAAAAAAAAAACCCACAACCAAAAGCTAAAGCGCTGTTGGAAGACATAACCTCTTCACTCAATATGCTGCATTTCCAGCTTCGATGGACAATTGCAAATTGACTGGTCATCAGTTTACTGTGGTCATATCAGCCCAGAGTGAAAAAATTGCAAGTGACTTGTCCTTGGGACAAATTTTGCACAATGTCATTTCAGTGTCCCCACCCACTCATTTTTCAGAAAAAGATTTAAGTAGCTGCAGGGCAGGCTACCCTTCCCTCAGCAAGGGAAGTAGGTCAGACTGAACTCCTAGAATGCTCTGCCTAAGGAAAAGATATCTTGACCCACTCCATTCCCTGAGGCTGCTCATATACGAATGACATTGGGGTCAGGCACAACTTCCTCAACTTACACTCCATTATGATTTTCTGCTATTCAAAGTCAGCCAAATCTTAAGGTTTGTTTTTTACAAATTTTACTAACACAAAGATGGCAAATTCCAAGCAGCAGGCATTATTTTTTGATGTACAAAGTGAAAAAATTATTTTTTAAAGTCCAGAAGAAATAACTATGTTTAACTAGTAATACGATTCTTAAAGGATCTGATTAGAAATGTTTACAGGTTTGGATACTGAATTACAATCGTCCATATTCTGAAGAAATTAGGATCTTAACTTAAACCTGCCTGGCAAGCAAGAGGTGCTGAAGATTAGTGCCTGATCTGAAGTAAGACAGCTTGGCCTTCAACAATAAAGTACAACAATTCAAACGAAAGGCCACCAAATACAGTCCCTGGACCTCAACTCTGCCAAAAAACTCAGGGTTAAAAATAAAAGCATTAAAGCATTGTTCTACTATTAGAGAAGAAAGCTGTTTTGTTTTGGAAGTAACCAATATAATAAAAGTGCTGGAAGTTAAATCCTCAAATATAGCTGGTGAGAGCTGAAGGACGAACATCCTCAGTTTGTAACACTTCCAACTATGCTTCCTCTGGCTGTTCCTATGCATTTTATTTGATCAATTGATTTACCTTTGCTAGGGAACTGTTCTTGGCTCCAGTTTTGTCAAGAGCAGCAAATGCGTACTCTCTTCTCTGTAAGGCTATTTATACAGTGTGACAATGCACATCTGCATCTCATATACCCTTTTGTAAGGTCACCAAGTAGCAGTCAATGTAAAATTACTGGGGTTCAAAGGGTGCACAGAAGCAAGGAATTTAAACAGATAAGGAATATATTTTTCAGCTTCAAATACCAATTCTATTTCTAAGTCATCCATTAGTAGTCATCTGCTTCCCCCTGCAGTTTTGTGAAGCTATTGCTGTATCATGCATTCAACGATTTGAATTTCAATTTAAGGTTGTAGTCACTCAAAAAATCCTTTTTCAAATCTTGCTAGAGTCACTTGAAAACTGTGCCAAAGCTGCCCTCTACACTCAAGAGGTAGAGTAATAAGCATTGCTAGACTCCGGCCGACTTCTGCTCATTGTAACTCCATGGTAAAGATGCATTAGTCTTTCTACTGCCACATCACTACCTTTTTGTGAAATCATAAGCAGCACTTCCAGAGACAACAGGTCACATCCATCCTTGACAGTCAGTTTAAGTTAACACGCCAGACTAACTGTGACTATTCCTGAGTGACAATACACACCATTCAGTTGTTCCTGTTTCAGAGGCAACAGCCTCAGGCAGAAAAGTGGAGCTGACCACTTAATCCATCACCACCACAAGTTGAAAAGGTCTCAATCTGACAGTATCAGCATCTTTCAGAGAAATGCAAAAATGAATATAAGACTAAAATCAGATAGCACCACTGAAAGAAAGATGAAGGTATACTTTTTCACTCTTTCTATTA